CCAAGAAGGCAGAGTCACCCATTCAGCTGATTGAGAGGGGGACTGAAGCCAGGAGCCAGACCAGGGGATTCCTGGGCAGAAAAGTGCCACGAATCTCAGCACCACTCTTTCAGCTGGCGCAGTCGCCGCACGGGAAACTGCATAGATCCCGGTGCCTTTTCAGCGGGCGACTGGGGCACCTGGGAGAGAACTGACCATTCAATTAGGAAAAGAAAAAAAGGGGGCTCCAAAGCAGGGAGCCAGGAGATTGGGCTTGGCTGCTCCCTTACCCCGCTAAAAAAACAGCAATTGGAAATGCTGATGGTTGAGAGTTTCACAGCAAGCATAGCTGAACCCGGGAAGGTCCAGCTCTGTGGGGGAGGGGGGTCCACCAAAGGAAAACAAAGAAACAGAAATAACATCACCACCACCAAGCTGGACATCCACTCAGAGACCCAATCTGAAGGTCAGCAATTACAAAGACGACAGGTGGATATATCCACAAAGATGGAAAGAAACCAGCACAAAATGGCTGAAAACATCCGAAATCAGAATGCCTCTCCTCCTTCAGGGGATCACAGCTCCTCAACAGCAAGGGAACAAGGCCTGATGGAGAATGAGTGTGATGAATTGTCAGAATCAGGCTTCAGAAGGTGGATAAGAAACTTCTGTGAGCTAAAAGAACATGTTCTAACCCAATGCAAAGAAACTAAGAACCTTGAAAAAAGGTTTGATGAAATGCTAACGCGAATAGACAATTTAGAGAGGAATATAAGTGAATTAATGAAGTTGAAAAACACAACATGTGAACTTTGTGAAGTATGCATAAGTTTTAACAGTCGAATTGATCAAGCAGAAGAAAGGATATCAGAAGTTGAAGACCAACTCAATGAAATAAAACGAGAAGACAAGATTAGAGAAAAAAAGGATAAAAAGGAATGAGCAAAGTCCCTAAGAAATATGGGACTATGTGAAAAGACCTAATAGGTGCACCTGATAGGTGTACCTGAATGTGACAAAGAGAATGAATCCAAGCTGGAAAATATTCTTCAGGATATTATTCAGGAAAACTTTTCCAACCTAGCAAGGCACGACAATATTCAACTCCAAGTAATACAGAGAACACCACAAAGATATTCCTCAAGAAGAGCAACCCCAAGGCACACAATCGTCAGATTCACCAGCGTTGAAATGAAGGAGAAAATGCTAAGGACAGCCAGAGAGAAAGGTTGGGTTACCTACAAAGGGAAGCCTATCAGACTCACAGCAGATCTCTCAGCAGAAACCCCACAAGACGGTGGGGGCCAATATTCAACATCCTTAAAGAAAAGAACTTTCAACCCAGAATTTCATATCCAGCCAAACTAAGCTTCATAAGCAAAGGAAAAATAAAATCTTTTGTGAACAAGCAAGTACTCAGAGATTTCATCACCACCAGGCCTGCTTTACAAGAGCTTCTGAAAGAAGCACTACACATAGAAAGGAACAACCAGTATCAGCCTTTCAAAAAATATACCAAAAGGTAAAGACCATCAACATAATGAAAAATTTACATCAACTAATGGGCAAAACAGCCAGCTAGCATCAAATGGCTGTATTAAACTCACATATATTATTATTAATCCTAAATTTAAACTGACTAAATTCCCCAATCAAAAGACACAGACAGGCAAATTGGATAAAAGTCAAAACCCATTGGTAAGCTGCATCCAGACCCATCTCATATGCAAGGATACACAAGACTCAAAACATAGGGATGGAGGAAGATTTGCCAACCAAATGGAGAGCAAAAATAAATAAATAAATAAAAAGCAGGAGTTGCAATTCTCGTCTCTGATAAAACAGACTTTAAAGCAACAAAGATCAAAAGAGGCAAAGAAGGATGTTACATAATGGTAAAAGAATCGATGCAACAAGAAGAGCTAACGATCTTAAATATACACGCACCCAATACAGGAGCACCCAGATACATAAGACAAGTTCTTAATGACTTATAAAGAGACTTAGACTCCTATTAATAGTGGGAGACTTTAACATCACATTGTCAATATTAGGCAGATCAACGAGACAGAAAATTAACAAGGATATCCAGGATTTGAACTCAGACCCGGAACAAGTAAACTTAATAAACATTTATAGAACTCTCCACCCCAAATACACAAAACATACATTCTTACCAGTACCACATCACACCAACTCTAAAAGTGACTACATAATTGGAAGTAAATCACTCCTCATTAATTGCATAGCAGTTCACAGGTTTAAATGAAATATTGGTTGGCTGCTTGTCTGTTATTTTCCTCCCTGTTTCCACTGTTAAGCACAATTATTGGCATAAAAGAGGTTTTCAATACCCATTTTTAGACTGCATTCTAGCCTGGGCAATAAAGCAAGACTCCCGTTCTCTCTCCCTCTTTGTCTTCCTCTTTCTTTCTCTCTTTCATTCTTTTTTCTTTCTTTTCTTTTTTCCAAAAAAAAAAAAAAAAACATACACAAGTCTATAAACGTAATTCACCACATAAACAGAACCAAAGACAAAAACAGTAAGATTATCTCAATAGATGCTGAGAAGGCCTTTGACAAAATTCAACAGCTCTTTATACTAACAACCCTCAATGAACTAAGTATTGATGGAATGTATGTCAAAATAATAAAAGCTATTTATAACACACCCACAGCCAATATCATACTGAATGGGCAAAAACTGGAAGCATTCCCTTTGAAATTTGGCACTAGACAAGGATACCCTCTCTCACCACTCCTATTCAATACAGTATTGGAAGTTCTGGCCAGAGCAATCAGGCAAGAAAAAGAAATAAAGGGTATTCAATTAGGAAAGGAGGAAATCAAATTGTCTCTATTTGCAGATGGCATGATTGTATATTTAGAAGACCCCACTGTCTCAGCCCAAAATCTCCTGAAACTGATAAGCAACTTCAGCAAAGTCTCAGGATACAAAATCAATGTGCAAAAATCACAAGCATTCCTATACACCAATAACAGACTTAAAGAAAGCCAAATCAGCAATCAACTGTCATTCACAATTGCTACAAAGAGAATAAAATACCTAAAAATACAACTAACAAAGAATGTAAAGGACCTCTTCAAGGAGAACTACAAACCAATACTTGACAAAATCAGAGAGGACAAAAGCAGATGGAGAAACATTCCATGCTCATGGTTAGGAAGAATCAATATCGTGAAAATGGCCATACTGCCCAAAGTGATTTACAGATTCAACACTATCTCCAGCAAGCTACCAATGACCTTCTTCACAGAGCTGGAAAAAACCACCTTAAACTTCATACAGAACCAAAAGTGAGGCCACAAAGCCAAGTCAATTCTAAGCAAAAAGAACACAGCAGAAGGCATCACACTACTGGACTTCAAACTATATTACAAGGCTACAGTAATCAAAACAGCATGGTACTAGTACCAAAACAGAGATATAGACCAATGAAACAGAACAGAGGCCTCGGAGGCAACACCACACATCTATAACCATCTGATCTTTGACAAAACTCACAAAAACAAGCAATGAGGAAAGGATTCCTTGTTTAATAAATGGTATTGGGAAAACTGGCTAGCCATGTGCAGAAAGCAGAAACTGGACCCCTTCCTGACACCTTACACTAAAATTAACTCCAGGTGGATTAAAGACTTAAACATAAGACCTAACACCATAAAAACCCTAGAAGGAAATCTAGGCAAAACCATTCAGGACATAGGCATAGGCAAGGACTTCATGACTAAAACACCAAAAGCATTGGCAACAAAAGCCAAAATAGACAAATGGGACCTAATCAAACTCCACAGCTTCTGCACAGCAAAAGAAAGTCATTAGAGTGAATTGGCAACCAACAGAATGGGAAAAAATTTTTGCAAACTACCCATCTGACAAAGGGCTAATATCCAGAATCTACAAAGGACTAAAGCAGATTTACAAGAAAAAAATAAACAAGGCCATTCAAAAGTGGGTGAAGGATATGAACAGACACTTTACAAAAGAAGACATATATGAGGCCAACAAACATAAGAAAAAATGCTCATCATCACTGGTCATTGGAGAAATGCAAATCAAAACTACGTTGAGGTACCATCTCACACCAGTTAGAATGGTGATCATTAAAAAATCTGGAGACAACAGATGCTGGAGAAGATGTGGAGAAATAGGAACACTTTTACACTGTTGGTGGGAGTGTAAATTAGTTCAACCATTGTGGAAGACAGTGTGGGGATTCCTTAAGGACCTAGAAACAGAAATTCCATTTGACCCCGCAATCCCATTACTGGGTATATATCCAAAGGATTATTAATCGTTCTATTATAAGGATACATGCACACAAATGTTAATTGAGGCACTGTTTACAATAGCAAAGACTTGGAACCAACCCAAATGCCCTCTGATGATAGACCGGTCAGGAAAATGTGGCACATATATACCATGGAATACTATGCAGCCATAAAAAATGATGAGTTCGTGTCCTTTGTAGGGACATGGATGAACCTGGAAACCATCATTCTCAGCAAACTGACAGAAGAATAGAAAATCAAACACCACATGTTCTCACTCATTGGCAGGTGTTGAATAATGAGAACACATGGACATAGGGAGAGGAGCAACACATACTGGGGTCTGTGGGAGGGAAATAGGGGAGGGACAGTGGGGGGTGGGGAGTTGGGAAGAGATAACATGGGGACAAATGCCAGATATAGGTGATGGGGAGGAAGTCAGCAAACAACACTGCCATGTATACCTATGCAACAATCTTACATGTTCTTCACATGTACCCCAAAATCTAAAATGCAATAAGAAAAAAAAGGAAAAAAATGCTAGAAAGAAATAAAAAATGTTAACAGTTGTCAATGTTGGCTGCTGTAAATATAGATATTGTGTTACTTTAGTCTGTATTTTTTATCTATCTCAACTAAATTAACAAAGAAATGAAAAAACACTAGTGTTATATGCAAATGAGTCAACAATGGCAAAATAATAATGAGGTACATAGAAGGTTACTAACTTTTAATGGTGAATACTGGATCCAAACAGAAGTTTGAAAATTTTGATTTCAGAAAAAAATCACGAAACTTAAGGGATGAATGAAAAACAGACAAAATGAAACAGGGTAATGAGGACAATATTAAATAACAAAATCTACTTTTAACAAGGAAATCTTTCCAGTTACAGACTATTTAAAAATCTTTCACATATCCTATCTGTTGTTGTTAAAGAATATAAAAAGAATAAAATTTTAAAGGAGGTACAGGAGTACAATGAAAAAGCTAAGTTAAAAAGTAAAGAAAAATGTAAATACAGGATCACACAATGAAATCACAAAGTTTGGCAGTACAGAACAAAACAGTGTATTATCCATTTTCTATCTAGTATTTTGATATCTGGTCCTAGTTCCATAACTGGTATAAATTTTAATATTTTTTATGATAAACATTTAATAAAAATATGGCATCCTACTTTTTCCACCAGTCTCATATTTGCAATTTTTCCTCTTTGGACTGGCTGATCTTCTCTGAGCACCCTTTTAACTCTAAAATTATACTGGTAATTAGAACACTGTCTTCCACAGAGCTGTTTCAATGACTAGATAGACAATCATTTTGCACTATTAAATAGAGATTTCAAAGGATACTGGGTATGATAGGCACAGATAAATATTAAACGAACTAAAATTTTGGTCATATAAAAATACATACATACCATTCGGAGATGTTTACTTGGCCAATAAATGTATCATTAACTCCTATTAAAGGATGAGGCACCTGTGGCTACTCAAAAAATACTGATGATTAAAGTAATATCCTCTTACATTACGTCGCCTGAGTCGGAACCAAATAAATCAATACATAAATACTTCTGGGAAAAATCAAAACCATGGGAAAACGTTATCTTCCCAACAATCTATTTTACAGAGACCCATAGTTTATAACAGTTTTATGCTGTGTGCATCAAGATCATCTATTACACGAAAAATGATTCCACCCCCTCTACTGGCAAAGCCCCAGCATCGCGAGTGAGTTGCCAGGATGATCTCCCTGCTTTCCCCTCTCCGTCTTCCTTGGAGCATCAGGAAGACTGACATCACCTGGGCATCTGACCAGCTGACCTGCGTTTCCAGGAGCCAGATCTGTGCCGTGGGGCCGGGTTCTCGGCCTGGGGAGCAGGATCTGTGCGCGGAGCCCCTCGCGGGGCTGTGCATTCTGCAGTCCACGGACATTTACTATGTTTTGTTTTTATCCTTCGGTTGCCAATTAGTTTCTAAGGAAGACATTCGTATATAATAGCGAAATAAAAATAAACACCACTTCAAAAGGAGGCCAGCAGGGAAGCACCTGAGGGCTGTTTGAGTGATTGGCCGCCGCCCCTATTAGGAGCGACCACCACCACCGAGGAAAATCATCCCAACGAGCCCCAGGCCGACGCGCTCCTTCACAACAGTGAGCGTGGCCGGGAGGCGCCCGTCGGCCGCAGGAGACCCGGCCACACCAGAAACAGCTCCTCGCTGGTTTTGCCGGGATGGAGGCCAGAACGACCCCGAGCAGGGCTTTGCCCGTGAAAAGGCCGCAGGCAGCGGCCGGGGTCCCAAAGAGAACCGAAGAACCAAGGAGGCCAGCAAGGCCCTGAGAGGCCGCGCGCGCGCGTGGCCGACGCCTCCCGCCGCGCCCCCGCCTCCCAGCGTCGCCATGGGAACCCGGGATTTGGCCTCTGGGCCTGACCGTCGCCTGAGGGAGAAGAGGGGCAGGCAGGAGGCCGCAGACGCTTACCGCGACGCCGGAGCCGCGAGGTGACGCTCCTCCGCCGCCTTGGGTCGCGTTCGGCCGCGCGGGGGTCCGTTCCGGCACCCGTTCCGGCCGCCGCCCGCGAGCCCCGCGCCGCCTCCGGGCCGCTCCAGCAGCCCGTGCCCCTTCGCATCCGTGCGTGGAGGTGTCAGGCTCCCGCTGCGGGAGGCGGGAGATTTAAACCGCACGGTCTGGCGTCCGCGTTCTACCCCCTCGGGCGCCGGCCTGACCCCGCCGCGGGCCCGGCTGCGGACCGGTGCATCTCTCGGTCCGCCCTTGAATGAACTCGGGAACCCTCTTCTATACCTCCTTTCCCATTTCCTCTTTTTTTTTTTTTTTTTTTTTTTTTCTTGTTGAGACGGAGTTTCGCTCTTGTTACCCAGGCTGGAGTGCAATGGCGCGATCTCGGCTCACCGCAACCTCCGCCTCCTGGGTTCAGGCAATTCTCCTGCCTCAGCCTCCTGAAGAGCTGGGATTACAGGCACGCGCCACCATGCCCAGCTAATTTTTTGTATTTTTAGTAGAGACGGGGTTTCACCATGTTGACCAGGCTGGTCTCGATCTGTTGACCTCGTGATCCACCCGCCTCGGCCTCCCAAAGTGCTGGGATTACCGGCTTGAGCCACCGCGCCCGGCCTCCCATTTCCTCTTTACTTAATAAAGTGAAATGACAAACACCAAACCGGTGAGAACATCACGAGGAGGAGCTGCGTGTGAGCCTTTTGAGGCGTGGGAAGTGAAAGTCATTAGCCCAGGGCCCTTCCAGCTCCCTCCCAGCCCCCGCGGCACCTGCTGGCCTACCCGGGTCGCTCCTGAATCGCCCGGCCCTCCTCAGCTCAGCACCACTGCTCCCTACGCGGAAAGCGTTCGCGCGCTATATTTAATTCTCGTGTTAAAGGTTTAAAGAGTTGCCGGGCGCGGTGGCTCAAGCCTGTAATCCCAGCACTTTGGGACGCCGAGGCGAGTGGATCACGAGGTTAAGAGATCGAGACCATCCTGATCAACATTGTGAAACCCCGTCAATACTAAAAATACAAAAAATTAGCTGGGCAGTGGCGCGTGCCTGTAATCCCAGTTACTTAGGAGGCCGAGGCAGGAGAATTGCCTGAACCCAGGAGGCGGAGGTTGCGGTGAGCCGAAATCACGCCATTGCACTCCAGCCTGGGTAACAAGCGTGAAACTTCGTCTCAAAAAAAAAAAAAAAGGTTTAAAGAGTTGTAAATTAACAACCGTTCATAACCAGCCTCAAATGCACAAATCCATATCCATAATGTTTGTGATAAACGAAAAATCGGATCCTGAAAGTCTCAGGAAAAAAAAAAAAGAAGGCAAAACTATGTTACTACTGGTGGGAGAAAATTTAATAAACTCAAACTGCATTCTTTTTAAAGATGACTCCAAAACTTAAAACAGCTTTCCTAAAACAGCAGAATCTGAATTATCGATAATTACAACTGTGACACATAGGATAGCAAAGAATTAAAAAGTTACACTCGAGGTGATAACTAGGCTGTATGATCACAAAAGACAATGATGGGGTGACATTCCAGAATATTAACAGTACAAAATACTCAACCAGGAAAGTATAATTTTAGAATAGGAAAAGTGGCAAGCTACAGTGGGTTAATTTGACTGAAAACATTAAATATCTTTAGATTTTTACCCTGAGATATTTGGATTTCAAGGAATAGGCAAATACCTGAAATTATGTGCAAAATTTTGGTTTTCTTTTTCTTTTTTTTTTTTTTTAAGAGTCCACAGCTTTCCTCAGAAGAGTAAAAATTAGCGTTTGGCAAACATGGGTGATTGACGTTATTTCCTTTGATGGCTTTCCTGACTCTTACTAAATGTGGCATTCTACTAAGAGGCATACTGCTGTCTGGCTGTAATGGTCTACCTGCCTGTCTGCCACATTAGATGCTGAGCTGCTTCAAAGCTACTCCGCCCTTACACCTTTCTGCAGCCTTGTCACCCACCTAGCACAGTGCCTAATACAAACTAGGTCCTGAAAGAATGTTTAGTCCATCAATGAATGAAGTGAAACAAAGATAGCTAATTAACAACTGAAGAATACATTATAAAATATCTGAAAAGAACAGATCATCTTTCTCACCTAAGGAATAAGTAACTAACATGGCAAGCGAAATGACTTTCAAATGTTACTATTCCACATGGTAAAGTTCTTGGGGTATTTTAGAAAATGTTTGTTCCAACAAGATGAAGTTGAAGTCAAGAGAACAGTAAACTAATATCTTCTTCAGCTCAATCTGAGGCCAAGTAAGGTCCTCCAAGGAACACATCAGGAAGTCAGAATAGTGGCTATGGGCTGGGCCTATTGCTTTTATTTACTTAACTGGGGAAAATTACAGAACGATATAGTGTCTCCAAGCCGTCAATGAAGTGTACCATTTACATATTATCACTTTTTCTTCACAAGTCACTAAGCAAAAATGGCACAGCGTAGGAATAGTATTAGCAAATAATGTAGAGCTAGCTACTGATGTTCCTCCTGGACAGGAATCAAGTCTTACTCATATTTCATAAAAGTCTGTGGAATGCATTAATCTTCATTTAGCTGTTGGATTGATAAAATGCTTAAATGGCTTGCACTAGGACAAGTGTGGTAGCTCACACCTATACTCCCAGCACTTTGGGAGGATAAGGTGGGTGGAGCACTTGAGGTCAGGAGTTTGAGAACAGCCAGGCCAATATGGTGAAAGCCTGTCTCTACTAAAAATTCAAAAATTAGCCCCCTGTGGTGGTGTGTGCCTGTAATCCCAGCTACTTAGGAGGCTAAGGCACGAGCATCGCTTGAACCCAGGAGGCAGAAGTTGCAGTGAGACGAGATTGCGCCACTGCACTCCAGCCTGGCAACACAGAGCAAGACTCTACTTGCACTAGTTCCTTAACAAAATGAGGCAGTTCAGTCATTACAATTTAGTTTTGCATAAAACCTCTTTAGAAAATGAAATAATTTAATACCATTAAAATACTTTTGAATTTCATTTAGAATTACATTTATTGAAAGATCATTTAACTTTCTATCAACACTTAATACACTTACACTAAGGAAAAAAAGGGTTTTCCTCCATTGTAGACTTCTATAAGCCAACTAGACAAGAACATTAGATGACTTGGAATGTAGGGCTCCACAAATGGGATCTAAACCTAGAGTCTTAGTTTCTTTAGAGTAATGGTCTTGGCTGACACGGTGGCTCATGCTTGTAATCCTGGCACTTTGGGAGATGGATCACAAGGTCAGTTCCAGACCAGCTTGGTCAACATGGCGAAACCCCATCTCTACTTAAAAAAAAAAAAAAAATTAGCAGGGCATGGTGGCATGTGCCTGTAGTCCCAGCTGCTACTGGGGAGGGTGAGGCAGAATTGTTTGAACCTGGGAGATGGAGGTTGCAGTGAGCCTAGATTGTGCCACTTCACACCACTGCACTCCAGCCTGGGTGACAGAGCGAGACTCTGTCTCAAAAAAAAAAAGAGTAATGGTCTTCAATTTTATTTTTATGCAAACCTCTGGTTAATCTCCCACAAAAACCTCAGTTGATATTAGAAAACATTAAAAATTATTCCACTGTTTTGTACTGTTTTACTAAGGATTAGAGGTCTATTAAATCTGACATCATAGAAAAAGCTCTATTTCAAGGCATTCCAGTTTCTTTGGAGCCTGTTGGATTTTACCGAAGATGTCAAGAGTAGCACTGTAGGTCAGTGACAGTGGGGTAGTGTAAAGCTATTTTCCCAGATACCGACATCAGTAATTACTTAGATATTGAAAGCTAAACATACTGTCTCTTCCCTACTACATTTTTGTTTATTCAAGTAAAGCTAGACACAGTATAAGATTTAGACACCATTCTAGAATTACAATTATATTATTAAGATGATTTTAAATGTGAAATGTTACAGACATCGTTTTAAAAGTACTTCCTCCCCCCTGAAACAACCATTGAACTTAATCTGGTATTAAGACCCAGGCATGTTGGCCGGGCGCGGTGGCTCAAGCCTGTAATCCAGCACTTTGGGAGGCCGAGGCGGGTGGATCACGAGGGCAAGATATCAAGACCATCCTGGTCAACATGGTGAAACCCCGTCTCTACTAAAGATACAAAAATTAGCTGGGCATGGTGGCGCGTGCCTGTAATCCCAGCTACTCAGGAGGCTGAGGCAGGAGAATTGCCTGAACCCAGGAGGCGGAGGTTGCGGTGAGCCGAGATCTCGCCATTGCACTCCAGCCTGGGTAACAAGAGTGAAACTCCGTCTCAAAAAAAAAAAAAAAAAAAGACTC